CTTGATCAATTCACTAATGAAACTACCTTGGTGATGAAAATGGCTTGACAACACGAACGCGGTAGTCTTCCATTAATCGACGAACGTTTTCACCTCAGTTAGTACCAAATTGCAATGAAAAAGGATGGGTGTAGGGTAGATGCAAGTTCAATAGAATGAATCAAGCAAGGCAGAATCTGAGTAAAGAATCCTTTTCGGCAAATCTCATCAGAATCAAACTACATGGTGACTACGAAGTGCAAGTATGCCGCATTGACCTGCGTATTGATCAGTATGTTTAATTCCAACATGAACAAATCAATAACTCACGAGTCATTGAAGGTGGTAAACTATGTACAGGGGAAACCATAGCCGAAGTTGTAAGCCTCGGTAGAAGTAAAGGACGTGTAAACTGCTTTTGTACGCACCATTCTGGCTTGAGTTGGCGGACGGAGATAGCTTCCGCAATAGACAGGAGATGCTTCCGGAATCCGCGCAGTTTTTACGTCCTTTAATTTTATCGTGGCCTACAACTGCGACTGCGATTTCCCCTGCACATAGTTTACCAACTTCAATGACCTCGTGAGTTATTGACTTGTTCCTGATGGAATTAAACATTCTGCTCAATATGCAGACCAATCCACTTAGCACTTTGTCGTCATCATGTAACGTTTGGTTTTGATGAGTATTACGGAAAAGAATTCTTTACTTAGATTCTGCCTCCATTGATTCATTCTAATAGATGGGAATTTTTGGGTTGCTGAAGATCAGCATTCCCCGTGATTCAGTCAAGATGCAAGTTACTCTACGAAGGATTCCAGTTAAAGGGTTATTGCCTAGGTACCTTTACGAGGCGCAGTCACCTACTATGTGTCTGACTGTGCACTTACAGGTCGTAATTCTAGGACGTGGCCAAACGACACAGAAAGTCTGTGTTTCATTCTGTGCAGTAGCGGTGATTCCAAATTGTTCTATGGTTTCCAGTTGATGGTATGATATGCTAGTAAAAACATTTGCAAACTAGTGATATCCAAAACAAATAATAGTATATGGTCTATCGACTTAGGGACTTCACTGTTAGTGTTCCTTTTGACTCGCAAAATCCAACCACTGCTACAAACCCAACTAACTGGTTGTTAAGCCAACATTGCAGCAAACGTATGCATTGCGAATAAACCAATAGCAACGTACCGGGTAGACAATGCAACTGGGCAGTACAGCTGGAAGGCGTTATGAAGGAAACTTAAAATTATGGAGTGCTTGGCTCTTGTATTCACCGTTCTCCGTGAACCTACGCACAACATAGTGTCTACACATGTAATGCATACAGAAACAGCTCAATCAATTTGTGACTAAAGACTGTACGAATTTCACCATCAGCGAACGCCACTCAAAGATTTCCAACTAAGTTACTGTATGACTTTACATATTGCTGTCCATTTACACCTTTTGCTTATTCAAACGAAGCAACCATTTTCCTCATTCACCTGATACAGCACAGTTGTTATGAATAGCTAGTCCGACTTACCGACCAGAGATTGGTTCAATAAACGCAAATTGCGGCTGAAAGCAAGGCAGAATAACTCGTTGAATTGAGTTCTCTACCGCTGTCATGTGTATTGCAACTAAAACAAACATTTTTCGTTCATTTTAGATATCGCATTCTTTCGTAGGGTAGCTGAAGGTTTTGCGCATGAATCACCTAGCACTCATGGGCTGTGCGTGATAATGCACACTGCCCAAAGTATCAACCGGTTGTCCAGTGGTATACTGGATGTGTGGAACTGTTATGAAATTCTCGTGGATTAAACGGTAGTGCTTTATATGTTGTGTGACTGTACGATTTTACAGAAGCCTCTTCGGCTAAACTGATGACTGTTTGGGGAGGTGTTGAAAACAAAACCAAGATAGCTAAGGCCGGATCAGGAATGTACACAAGAAAAAGACCGAATAGAGTTCACCCTGGTTGGACAGCATTCCGAGTGTAACAAGACTTTCTCTCACACACCGAGAATCCAAGTTATGCTGGTCTGTATGCACCTAGTTTAGCATAAAGGAGCGCGTAAAATTAAATATCATGTATCAGTGCTGCTCCCTTTGTGCTCTGCACTCTATGACGAGTTTCGCCCTTGTATAGACGCATCAGGCGGAGATAGACTTATTTGGGAGTGGACCTCGGAACATAGCGGCTGGCGGTGATCGCCACGATCACCAGGCCGTAGAGCTCCGACAGGAGCGTTTGACACAGCGGTTAGAAGTGGAATGCCGGGTTTTAGAGCACCCAACCAAGGACGAGACGCCCCGTGGAGTACAAGGATGGGAGTAAGCAACAGCGAAACCCTCCGATTCGGATTCGTCCCCCTTGATTGGGATGGCAGAGGCTGACTTCAAATGCAACTAAGGTCCCAATTGGGATTGCATATGGCTGTCTGATACACACGGTGGGTGCTCCAACACCCGAGGCGCAATTAAGTTTGATATACCATGACAGACGTAAGAAGAACCTGAGTCTGGGCGAGGAATATCAGTGAAACGTGAGCTCTGTCCTGTGGTTCGTTTGGACAGGATTTGTGTTAAGCGGGTAAGTTATGACGGGACAACTAGGATCTTTGCTGGACAAAGCATCTTTCCTGAAAAATAGGTTCACCATTTGGAACCATACCGATCAGACAATCCAGCATCAGTAAAGTTGTAGAAGCGGCTTGTGTTACAATCAACAAAGCAGTCTTGCGTATCTATGCATATTTCAGTGAATTAGTCATTTTCGGACTCGTCATGGCGTACAAGTGAATACTTGAGATAGACGTCTTCAGTTATGCAAAAAATATCGTACAGAAACGCTTGCGGATGACTATCTACGTGTTATATTTTAACTACCATAAGTGGTCGGTGTGTGCTTGGATTTTGATGCGTAGTCTCAATGTAGAATGTGAGTTAGTTTGTTACAGGCCTCGGTTCTTTCGCTCACCACGTTCAGTGGTGAAAGTATCTACCGGCAAGGTTGCGTCCTTAACTGAGTTTTAGCTCCTACTAATTTTACCGGAGGATCATTCACACATCAGGATCGTCATCCGATTCGAAGCGTTCCATTGCTTTCCCCTTTGATGGCGAACCCAACGAACAAAAACACACATAGCCACATTTACCTAATCACACAACATGGCTACATCCAAATACAGACATAAACATACTTTTACATGTCAACAGACACATACATACCTATACTGTATGTAAAAATATACTAATTTGTGCAATTGCCGAGCATACATTTCTGTATTACCATGATCACGCCCTTGATGCTGTGCCTCGCGATGACGAGAATAAACTATTTATTTATTTATTTAAACAACGCAAACAACCACTATATCGGTCTGACCTATTGGGTTGAAAGCCGATAACATCTACCGTTTATTGATCCCATAGTTAGGTATACACTCTACGCGACGGTCAGATGTCTCCCAGATTCGTGCTTACTGCAAGTGCCGCTCATGACTGCCAGACATCATGTTTAAATCAAGCATAGAGAATTGTCACGAATACTCGCTTTCTCTGAGACACTACTTTTGATCATACCCTGTGTGAGCTCGACGGTCAGTGCATCTGTTGGATACGGATGATGATGTAGTCATTCCAACATTCCTTTGAATCATCTATGTTTGTTGAGATTAGGAACAAAGTATTGTAGTGGCCTTTGGTTGAACTGCTCAATTTACTTTTGAAGTACAACCTACCATCAAAACCGAACTTCAGGTTGTGCTAGGGTAAACCATCATTTCAAGTCTCAAGGTCGTAAGATTAAAATGTACCTGCGTTAGACATCACCCACGTTCTTCGTTATAGTGAACTATCAAATTGCGTTGATCTGCAGTCACCAAGTGGTTGGGAACAGGGCGGTATTTATTGTAATAGGTAGTAGCATCTTAGGGCTGGTGAATTTTCAAAAAACTATAACCAAAATCGATCGTGCGGTGAACTGGCTAACACTAGTAGCCTCGAATGTGTTCCGAACACTGCTCCAATCGATGTCATCTATATTGCCAGAAATAATGATGGTTGTCTCTCGGGTACTAGAGGTGGACAGCAACTGAAATGTCACTAAATATCCTTTTGAAACAAGAAGTTCCTATTATAAATCTAGACAGAAATATCAGAAGATTTAAGCTGTCTGATGACCCGGTCATTTTGTGCCCATCTCCTCAGTCACGTACAAGGCAACAAACAATTTGAAAACAAGCAAGGTCGGATGCGGCCGTTTGGTGGTCAGCTGATGACCAACTACTACTGCGACACTACCATGGCAGGCTCAATGTTACTGTCAACTTCTTCTGTACGCAAAGAGGCGACCGCTTGCAATCGATCGCGATGGCTTCAATTAGCTTGAGTATATGCGGTCTTTGGTTACACATGAGGGCTGGGAATCAGTCACCTGGGTTGACCTGGTGGCCAGTGTATAGTAGATGCTTCGTGATTGCCGATGCTATCCTGCCTCTGGATTCACCTGGTTGCGCAAGGGAATTCAAAGACGGTGGAAGCAGGTGAATCCAGAAGCAGGATAGCTTCGGCAATCACGAGGCATCTACTATACACTGGCCACCAGATCAACCCAGGTGACTGATTCCCAGCCCTCATGTGTAACCAAAGACCGCATATACTCAAGCTAATTGAAGCCATCGCGATCGATTGCAAGCGGTCGCCTCTTTGCGTACAGAAGAAGTTGACAGTAACATTGAGCCTGCCATGGTAGTGTCGCAGCAGTAGTTGGTCATCAGCTGACCACCAAACGGCCGCATCCGACCTTGCTTGTTTTCAAATTGTTTGTTGCCTTGTATGTGACTGGGGAGATGGGCACAAAATGACCGGGTCATCCCATAGCTTACGTCTTCTGTAATTTCTGTTTAAATATTCTTCGTTAGTAATAATAGTAAACAAATCAGTTTATCGCACCAACGGGTGTAGCGTCAAATGTTCTGCCTCATATCCCATCACTTTCGTATAACTATTGGTCTTTTCGCTCGTTCTAGTGGCAAATGGTGAAGTGGAAATTTCAGCCGGGCACCATGGTTGTATTTTACAGTAGTATAACTGAAGTGCCTCTACAAGTGAGCGTAAACGGACGAATCAACGCAAGGCGACAGAACGAAGGAAGTTGTGGGAATCCTGATTTCGCTACAGGTAAGTAGGCCTACTTGAAAAGAGATTGTATGCCAACTTTTTGACCGTAGTTAATCCTTGACTATCAGTAGGGCTATTCTCTGCCTCACTGTGGATACTAAAAGACCCATTTGCCCTTGATGAGAATATTGTAAACAGACCCCTGTCTATAAACACAGTTCCTTCATGGACATTTCGTTACCAGGGTAGACCGGTCAAATTTAGGTAACAACTTTCCTATGGTTTTCCAGACTGACTGAACATGTAGGAGGGCATGGCAAGTATTACCCTGAACCCCTCGGTGGCTTGTCACCCAGAATATCTGAATGGGTTATCATCGGAAGATGGTACTCGGTGCAGTGTCAGAGATCCGAAAAAGCTCACCGGCAGGCTAAAGACAGCCAATTGTTGAGGGCTTGTTGTCATTGTATACCAGCCTCTGCAGCCAGATATTGTCCACTAGTAAAAAGTTTATGCAAGTATTTTCTTTGCGTGTCACTAATAGCACTGTGTATCTAAACAAATAACCTGGAATTACGAGGAATCTTATGCATTAGACATGAGATTCCACCTTCCTACTTTATGTTTTAGTCTTCTCATTAACATAGACTGGTTTTCAATAAGCAGGTTGGAGGTCCCATCAGTTTGCATAAATGAGACAGTTTTTGGAGGTTTGAAGCACTCTTCTGGTCAGAACTAGAGAGTGTTCTCACTTTTCAATTGGTACCACAGTGTTCACAGTATCGCTAGTGCCTCCCGACGGTAAAACGAACCGAGTCCTGAAGCCGGTTGGAACCCATCGATCGATCGCCCCCAATGACATACATCGCGACATGGAGAGGTTTAACGAAATTGGGGTGTATTCCACAATTCGACATTTTTACACTCAACGGGACGCATGGATGAAGATGGCACTGGACGAGTCCCTTGGTCTCTGTGTTGTAGGTAAGTCAAGGATTCCAGTTTGAATATACGAACAACCTTTCATCGTTTTCAGAGTGAGCGAACTCTTGCGCACTTCTCCTCTACCATTTAGTCTTGCAATGGGTAAACAACCCATGAATATAGAGTGTAAAGTACCTCAGCAATCCGCTGAACGTTTAACCATGCTTCATACCCCGAGTTTTGTAATAGTGACTGGATGAAGTGTCAGCAAGTAAACATGCTTACATCCTTAGCTCTAGGCGGCTTCAGAGGAGGCTAAAGATGTTAATTACCGGAACTAATGAAGGTACCAATAGGATTATTCAGCGCGCGGAGCACTGAATACAATAGTGCATGAATAACTTATCATTTATAGGAATTTCAAGAGGTAAGACTATGCGCCGTTCACATATAGATGAGTGCGGCATGGTGCAGACATAGTGCTGGCATTTGCACCTGTTTCTAGCATCTGACCTGATGTGAAAGTGCTTCGTGACTATGGGGCAAGTGCGCGACAAAGGTGCCTGAGAGAACCGCAGACTAAATTTACTGTTTGAAAAGAAATAAATTTTTTATGACTACATAATATAAAGGTGAGATTCAAGAAAGCATACGACGAAGTTAGTAGAAGGACCGGATGGTTTCGGCGAAGCCCTAGAAGATAACTGATCATCCAATCTTATGAGATCTTGAGAGCGGAGATCTCTACTCTGCTACAACTAAGGAAGGTAGCTGTAAGGAAGTTCGCATCTAGTGAACTGGCCACTCCTTCCGTTAAACTTTCATGAATGCAAACCACGCAGAGACCTGCATCACTTACGCGGCTATATCTCTCAGTTCTTGTTAACTTCAACTCATTGATCACACTGTTCTACGACTATCCCTTTGTCCACTACGATGGCTGGCCCAACCATGCATAGACCCACATAATAGAAAATAGCTCAACAAGCATTCGTCTCCAGCTGACCGGATAATTGTATGTGGATCCGCACTACCGTTTAAACACGTCCTTAGCTCCCCTATGCCAAACACACACGCATGGGGGTTTTAGCGGAGAACGAGTGGATACAGAGGCTCCAGAAGCCGACACGATGCATTTTTCACAAGTCATAGAATAAAGCCGGTGAATCGCTTTATCTAGGACTGCCCTAGATCCAGATGCAATTAAAAGTAAATCTCTCCTGAATAACTGCACGATAAGTGATGCGACGATGCGTTCATGAAACATACACACCCCAGGCGTTTTGTACGTCTCTGCATCAATTTATGTCTGCCGGCTACCTCACGATAAGCCCATCGTAATCAGCAAACGGTCGTTGCTCAGTAGTTTACCGTGATCTCTGGTTCCTAGATGGGACCAGACATAGGTACTTCCTGACTCTGTATTTTTCTGCGGTTTGCGATTACGTAGCCCGTAACAAAATGCAGCTTTCCTGTAGCCCACTACAACCACCTGATCTCATCCTCTTCCACAATACGGTATCTGTGGCCTCCAGATCTTTCAACAGGTACCTAAAGTTCTTGTCGCAAAAGGAGCTGCATATTGTCTCAGTGTTGACACAGTGCATTCTCGTGGCTGTATACCAATCGGCGCTCTTCGGACTCCCATATGTTCCACTTACTACTTTCACTGCTTCCGCGTCCATTCTGATAGAATAAGACCAACCTTGGGTTAGGATATCTCAGTGGTTTAAGGACTGCTACAATAGACGCTCTACATATGTTTTTCATGAAGGTGCTGCGCTCCCTTATATATCATTAGCCTGAGGCGTCTAAAATGTGTCGAAGGCTCTCAAGAAACCATGCTAGCTTATTAGCGTAACCTGAGCGCTCAAACTACCGCACAGTGTCTCTTCTTCCTGTATTATTCGTCATGAAAACAAACGTTGCCGATGCGTTGATATGTTATCTAGAAAATTGCAGCATTATTGCTCCCGAGCCACACGGCTTTCGTCGACAGCGATCTTGCACATCGAATTGATTAATTGCACGGAGTAGTTGGACCGAATCATCTGAGGCCGGGGAGGCCGTTGATTTCACCTACTTGGATTTGTCGCAGGCGTTCGATCGTTTAGATCATTGGATTCTCCTTTCCAAGCTCCATTATTACGGGATCGGTGGCTCTCTCTTGAGCTGGATCGCCAACTTTCTCCTGATACAACAGTTAGTGGTCAGAGTCCGGGGTACATTATCTGACCCCATCCCACTCGAGTCTGGTGTGCCCCAGGGCTCTGTTCTGTGTTCACGATTGTTCTGGTATTCATTAATGACCTAGCACAGAAAATCGCTTTAAATTTCCTGCTGGTAGCTGATGACAGACTTTACTTTAGTGTGACCAAGATATGGTACCTCAATTCAAGGTTGACATATGCAAGGTACTCTCCATACCACACAAGAGCACCTATTCCTACATGTTAGGTACTCAAGTACTGAAGTGGTTATCAGTCGAACGCGACCACAGTATCCATGTTCAGGATAACTAGTTGTTCCAAGCGATCCGCAAAGGCATCGAAAATTGGTATTCCACGCGTCGGCTTGCTGCAACGGGCGTTCGGACAACTAGACATCATTAGTTTCAGACAGATGCTGAATGCGTATGTTCGCCCCCTTGTCGAATACAAAATCCAAGTCTGGCAGCCATGGCTGATGCACGACCTTACTGCACTGGACCAATCTCAACGTCGGGCCTCTAGATACGTCATTGGAATGCGCCACCTTCCATACGAGCAGAGGCTGAGCGTTTGGGAGTATTCAGCGAGCAGGAACGCCAACTACGCGGCGAATTGAATATGGGGTATTTGATTTTACACAACCCAAATCATATGTGCCGTTCTTTACTACAACTCAGCTATAACACCAAACTTAGAGGCCACTCCTTGAAATTAGCAAAATAGTACAGCCGTCTGGCTTGTCGTAGAAATTTCTTTTCCATTTTTGCATGTCAAACATTGAACACTCTCCCGTAATCGGTTATTTCTCCATCCACGCTTGCCTTAGTTAAAGTTCGATTGGATGACACACTCCGCCCCGTACATGTTGTTAATTGACGTTATTCTCCATCCTACTCCCGGGAAATAGCCTGGATTTATTTATTTTCGTCTCTTGAAGCTGTGGAAACACAAGGAGTGCAGGTTTATTGCATTAAATAGGATAAATCAATTCTTTTGGCAGTAGAACTACTAACTGCAATTTTTTCATTAACCTTTTTCAATAACCCACCATACTACTCGACGGGGCTTGTAAAGAAGAGGTTCTTAATCCGTTTAAAATCATTGTTCATTATTCAATGACCATAGCACCTTCTTGATTCTTTGCAACTTCGTTGTCCGTAGCTTAGTCATTGAATACTACAGCCTGATAGCCTGAAAGGGATGCTAATCGTGAGTTCACTTTGACGCTTGTTCACTAAGTAAATGCAAAGACTTACGCTGTGGATGAAAGTCGCGGGGTGGAAGCGTAAGGAGTTACTGTTCAAAAAGATGAAAAACGGCTCTAGGTTCGGTTTCAGTCATGAGGCGTTTGACTGATTTCTATACTATTTCCAAAATTGCGCTTACTACGTTTCATCATCTCAGCAAAGTGGACAAAGACAATGTATCAGGTAACCTCTCAAGGCGGAGGGCACTTTTTTAACACTTGAAGCTGATGACTCAAACAGGTCGGATGACGGAAGTTATGGTCAGACGAAAATGCCTAAACTTATCGCGGCAAGTAATGACATTTAAATGCGTAATTCTTACTGAACGGGCCGCTTGGACAGCTAACAAGGCCAGTTTGAGTGACTTTCTGTGCTTTGATGGGGAGATGCTGCGTGAATGCGAGCCAATCTAAACGAAGGCAGTGACCTCCCAGTTAAGTAAGACCGGGAATAAGCCGTCTCTTCTCAAGTACCATCTCGTGTACCAACGATATCAAGCTAACATTACGTTTGTAATGTCTGGTAACAGTTGGTTGTGACAATGTGGAACATGCTGAATGCCAGCTACCCGGCTGACTTACCCTCTACTAATCCTGAGAAGCTATACGGTAACGCTTGGACAGTTGAAGAGACAAACAGTGGAAGGTCGGGATAAAGATAGAAAGCATTATGGAGTGACAATTTGCCCAGCAACTTGTCCGGTGATTCAGTGCTACAACCTAACTGGGGGCAATGTGCCCTGAGTTTGATTTTGGGGTCCGAATCCGACAGCTATCCTACTTCGGGGATCGGTTGATCAGGTGCTTTCGTTTATGTCAGATACAACTGACTAGTGGGAAACCATCCGTCAAGTGGCCCTGGCAAAGACTGTTCTCCAGCCGGAGTTTAAGCCATTAGGCCAAATTCTACACTCCCACGCTTCACGTAAAGTTACCGCTGTGATCGCAATTTCTGTTCACAAAATCTGATGGCGATCGGTCAAGCTGGTAGAAAGCGTTTGAAACGGTTTCAAGAACTCATGAGTTCAGAGAGGTTTGGAAACAATCGGTTGGTATAGTATTTTTGGTAACGTTTCGCCAATAAAATAATGGCTTCGTCAGACCAGGTGAATCAGTGTGCAATTGGTGTGGGATTTTATAGCGAACAGGGCCGATAACCGCGGTACCCGAGTCTTGAGCCATGAGTCAAGAACTAGTCACAGTCAATCGCTTTATATCATAAGTTTTTGCTATAGTTCTGCAATACATTTAATCTACTTCGGTAACGAAGGTACAGGGGGTGTTGGTTGATGGCTTCTTAATTATTTACCTCTGTGTGACACAAGACGGCTATGACAAGGTGACCAGTTAAATTGAATGGTTTGGCCTTGAGGAAACAGATAGATTACTAGTTTGCCGACCAATACTGTCGATGTCCAGTACAATTATAACCCCCGTGGTTGCGTAAGCTAAAATCCTACATCCATGTGAATTAGCCTATCGGTTCTAAGCATTCTGTACTGTCAAGTTAGGTCTGGAAACTACTGGTCATTCTCCGCCTGTAGGCTATGACATGCTCCTAATACCATGATTACTTATAGAGTTGGACCGCAAATTCGTTCTTGTCTAACATTAGAATTGCAGTTCCGTTTGGACGATGTTTGGACCTAGTTCTCAGAATTCACAAATCCATTTCCAGTTTCTTATAATTTTGTGTTTCGTAGCCTAAACATGGAATAAAGAATGAACAGTGGAACTGAAACCGAGAATTTTCATGTAAAGCAAAATCAGATAGATCTTCATTCCAACTAGCGGTACATGTTCCCATTTTAATTTACTTCAGTCTTCACTGTAATTCGCAGTTGCATGCAAAATTTAGCGTTATTTTGTAAAGGGTCTCGGAATCTTTTAAGCAGCATGAATACAGACTTTACGCAGATTACCATATCTAATTAGACAGCATTCAAGCCGTGGTCTTATACGTTCTTTGCAAGATTTCAGTCTTGCTTGCATCAAGATAAATGTTCTACCAATCCAGAGAGCCATCCTCCTGGAAGCGGTTTGAAAGTATGTGAGTTGTTCCGTGAAACTGTTAGAGGCAGAACGCTTCAGTCTCAAGTTACTTGGTAGTAGTGTTGCGAAGAGTTAAGATAAACATCGCAAGCATTATATAGCACATTGTATGGTCCGCGGCAAAGTGCAGTCCCTAGACAATGGTCCCTTTTTGCGGACAAGATCCGGTCGGACTGGATATGTGCTGGAGCAGAGTAGTGGATGATGGATTTCCCTATTTCAAGTTATTTACAACATACGATGGTATACTCAGTTACATAAAAGGCTGGTTAGTGGAGCAAGCCGCAGGTTTTTATGGGTTCAGTTCCTAATAGAGCCGGGGGAAGCGCAATTTGACGAGCCCCAACAAGGAGAAACAGCCGTCTGGTGCTTTTCCGTACTGGTACTAAAGCTACCTTGATTGTGGGTTACTAGACTGAATGCCATAAGAGTTTACCATTATCCGCGAAGAGGAATTGTTTTCTAAATGTTATTTGGCTAAAGAGATCACTTATGCAGACCAAAAGTATGAGTAGGCCTAACACTCTACCTTAGCTTACTCTGCTAGTTCCTGACTTAATTCTTACAAAGCCGTTGACAATTTTTACTAATTGTTCCACTCCAAGTATGGGAGCGGATTTCAATATCGGAAAAGGATTAGTACAACCATAATCCCCTAGCCTCCACAAGAGTAGGTTACGGGGAACTTGGCCCACGGTTTTTGCACATCAAAAATTAAGGCGATGGATTTTCCAGAGCCTATTTCTTTAGTGACGCAGTCCAGATAATCAAGCCGGCAAGCAGTGAACGAAGTAGTCTACAGAAGGCCACGCTGATGATCATGGTGCTTGCTAATACCAACTGAGCTGCACAAGCCAACGACAATTGGCAAGGGGACACATGCGAACATTTGTTGATCAAGTTTACTTTCTCTGGCTGTCTCTACTTTTGGCATCTCTTACACACAATCACATAGTCCCCTTAATCTTGTATTCAGCGACAACTAATATGCCCCCAAAGTAGACGGTAACCGCCTTGTAGGTATGTTTAGACTAAAAATTCACTGTTTTACTATTGAATGTTGTTGCACATTCGGGACATTTGGTGCCAATTAAAATGCGCGAATTTGTCGATTACCACGACAGACGAACGTCTAGATTCTACTGTTGGTTCCAAAGAAGTTGGACAATTCCGAATTCGTGCTCGACCGGACCACTGGATTGTGTTGGAGTCCTGGCCGTCTACAACATCTACCAGTTCCAGAACACACGTCTACGTTGGTCCAGAGGGTCGAATAGTTGGTGGAGCCCGTGGACCGCTATCTGTGCCTGGGAAATTGTTGATGCCGCACGTCAAGGTAAAACCGTTGAGTAACCTTCTTACATAACCCTGACTCACTACTTGGTTTGCAACTGTGCCTTTCCCATATTTAAAACTATAGGACACTGTGGTGAGGCTGTTGACCATGTCACTGTTAATCGTAGTGGGCGCCTGGGACCGCATGCGATTCCATCAACCAAATAAAAGGGAACCTGACTTGAGTACCAAAATCGTGACAACAAAAATGGCCTAAATGGGACCTTCAACTTACTCCCGTCAACCGAACTTTTAGGCCACTTTCTCCGCCGGCGGAGGATGCAAGAACAGCAACTGTCCCTCATATCTATATTCTAAGGCAGAACACGGTCGCGAAATTTCGCAAGTGCCCTCCAAAGTATAAAATCATTCGTTCAGAAAGCGCGGTCCGGTGAACAAAAACCACCGAGATAGGCTAATGGACTACATAAGTAAAATTAAAGATTTGAACTACTTTTGAAAATAATGTTTACAACACTAAGGATGTACAGCAAATGTTCGCCCAGAAGCTACTGAAAGCTAGGTTGTGCATGGCTGCCGTTTGTGGAAATCGTCTCTTGGGACCGAAATTGCCCTCTGCAACGTTCGTAAATTGCATGGAAGTGAAGGATGTATCTAGCTATATCACATTTTGCTTGTACATCGTGATAGTCCGCTACCATGGCTCAGTGGCATAAGATGCTGCACTGACTCAAGCTAATAGTGGTCATGGATTCGGGCGCTGCTGGAACCGATAGATGCTCATTGTTGACAAGTTACAACAGAAATAAACCGCCGTCCGGTGCTTTTCCGAGTGTGTGAAAGCGGCTGCGCAGTACCTTCAATTAACATTGGAACACTAGTAGTACCCAATTTCCATTCCTTTTATCAGCTGATGTCTGTCACCATTTTGCCATATTCATGCTTCTCCGTCCTCTGTGTGCATTTAAATCATATCTGGTGTACTCCTACTAGTTTTGTTCGGTACCATCGCGGGACTACATTCTGTTTGCCATAACTTTCCACAGTACCGCACTGCACCCCCTTTCCTCTTCCATCTTAGGACCAAATAAATGTCAGAATCCACATAGACTGATGATACGATTGTTGTACATGGACTAATAGACTATATAACGCCATCTACAGACATCCAGATTTGGGGAAAATAATATCGCGAGATGGCTTTGTGATTGATTCGATTCTGTGTCAGACGATGAGCAGGTCATTCGTTGCACTAACTGACTTGAGTGACATGAACAGCATGTAAGTTTCGATAGCTAACAAATTGTTCTCTGCCTCCTCACGTCATACAGTAGGTTCTTCATGCAGAAAACCTTATTTATGATAAGAGGCTTTCAAAGCAAAAACTGGAAGGCAATAGCAATCAGCTACCAACCAGTAGTTAAGCAGCAGTAAAACCATCGAAAAGAGCTTGTAATTTTCCATTTTCCTCGATATCAGATTATTTTCATTTGGTAGTTTCGCCGTTGTGTGAACTCCGACCAAGCTCGCTGCTGCTCCCCGGTGTCGTAACACTTGCAGGGAAACAAAGCTACCACCATCCAGACAAGAGTACATCGGTTGTATGTTTCTCTTTGTGCACTTATGCAGACATGCCAAACCAATGGCTCGCAAGCAGCATGCGGCTCGCACAAAGGATAACGTAAAATCTACATATATAGCGCGATATACATGAATAAGTAAAAATACATAATATATAGATTCACAGAAAGCAATCACAAAACAGTACTAGAAATCTACGGCCAGTTCATTTCTACGTGAACAGTGTGGTGCGCTTTAACATATCTAGTAACTTGGTACCGACAGTCATTAACATTCAAATCCCTCAACTACACCTTTGTAAATATATATATATATATATTGTGGGGCGCTCCTCAGCACAGACCATAGCACAGAGGATAACTGAGTGTATCGGTGTGCATCGGTGTGAACAGATGTCATCCGTCCGCATGGGATTGGTTCAGCGCTTACGAAAGGTGACATACTGCTCTCAATGTGTACGACTCATGGCCTGACGATCACGAACACTCGGTTTGCACTGAGTGCGGTCGTTATAGCAACTTGGACGCACCCGCGGAGTGGTCACGCTTACCTGCTCGCCTATGACATCGTACGTCATCGTGGTATGCCTGAAGTGCGCGTGGCACGTATACTGCTTAGAGCTGAATGTGACACTGATCACAAATTGATGCGCACCAAATTTGGTATATATTTTCATAAATCTATGTACTGCACTCCTGTCAGGAATCGTTGTAAGGTTAAAACTCTCCCTCGGGACTTTGCAGAAATGTATTGAGCTGCGATGCCTGCAAGACTGTGTGAATTGGAATGCATAGCCACAGCGAGCGACCTGTGACACAACATTCGCGACCAGATGATAGTTGCTTCCGAGAACATCGACGGCGCAAACTGTAAGCGCTTCCTGACTGCGCTGATAAGAACAATGTGACGATTAGCGCATTGGTGTCGGAGAAGAATGCAGCATTTGCTGCGCATGTGATAGACCGCAGTAACTTGGGGAACAAGAGACAGTTTCGCAAACTTCGACGGCAAATGTCCCGATCGATCCGTCGAACTAAAAATGTGTGGTGGACGGAGGAGACGAAGCAGATGGAATGTTACGCCTAACAGCGCTAACACAAGGAATTCTTTGACACCATAAAGGTGGTGTATGAACCGAGGTTGGAGCATCTGAGGACACCGATCGATCGTAGCTCAGGCGATATCTGCACACAGGCTGCAGACATAATGCAGATCTGACAGAAACACTTCGACTGTCTCTTGAACAACCGTTCAGAGATCGACCGGCCTACATTGAACGTGCTAAAGCAGTACGATGTGAAGGCGAGTCTGGCTGACACGCTAACACTGGATGAGACGTAGAGAGCACTTGCTCAGTTACAAAACGGCAAGTGTATCGGTGCCGACGGGATCCCGCTTGAAGTATTGAAATACGGCGGACTCGCCTTGGTGACTGCGCCGCACCACTTGGTGCAACGTGTGGGGATGGATGAGGTGGTCCTCCTGAGCTGAAGGCTGACCTTGTGCTGCCACTGTACAAGGGCAAACGGAGTAAGAAATGGTGCACAAATTATCGTGGTATCAACTTGCTGAGTTGTGTGGGCAAGGTTATTACCCGAATCCTTCTCAACCGCCTCGTCAGTTAGGTTGCGGAACCGAACGTGGCGGAAGAGCCATGTGGATTCCGTTCGGGTCGCAGCACCATTTACATGGTGTTTACAGCTCGACAGTTGCGGGAAAAGTGTAGAGAGTGACACCAGCCATTGCACTCGCTGTTTTATTGCTTTCACCAATGCATTTGATGCGGTGAACCGCGAGGCATTGTGGTTGGTGTTCCGCAACTATGGTTGCCCACGTAGGTTTGTTATTTGTATTGTATATCTGCACATTGGTAAGTGCGCGTGGGTGCATCTGAGTGAAGAGACTTCGGATGACTTTGCAATTATCTCTGGTGTGAAGCATGGCTGTGTCTTAGCTCCTACCCTGCTTAATATTTATCTTCATGCCAAGTCCTCTTGTGCTTTTGATGTGGCTTGTGCTTACGGTGTTCGGATGGAGCACCGTATTGATGGTGGGTTGCTGAACATCCGTCGTTCCAGTGCGAGAACCCAGGTCTGCGAGACAAATATCCGTAGGTAGCTGTTCGCTGACGACTGTGCGTTGTTTGCACAAAGCGCGGATGATTTGCAGCACATAACTAGGGCTCTGGCTTCGACAACGGCCAAATTCGGGTTTACCGTCAACACAAGCACAATTGTCTGTTGCTTGCAGCCTTCACCGGAGATGCAGTCTATCATAGTGCCGCACATCGGTATTGGTGATGACGTGGTGGAAACCACCTCCCGCTTCGTCTACCTTGGGAGTGTGCTGTCGACTGCCTAGCAGCTACACAGTGACCTTCGTATCGGCGTCTCGAAGGCAGCGGCGGCATTCAGGAAGCTAGGTTACCGAGTGTGGAACAATCTACAGCTTACCGTTGGCACGAAGCTGATGGTGTACAAATCCATGGAGCTGTCCATTCTTCTACACGGAAGCGCAACCTGGTCGATGTACCGTTGGGAGTTGCGTTATCTCGAGCGGTTCCATCAATAGTGTCTGCGACAGATTCTGCGCATTGTTTGGTGCGACAGAGTTGCGGACACGGTGTTGCGCCGAAAGGATTGAATGCAGTGGACTGTATAATTTTGCTGAGACACCTGCGATGGTTTGGTCATGTGTGGCGTATGGAATAGACGCGGAACGGAAGCAGCTATTGTATGGTCCACTGAGTTTGGGGAGTCGGCATGTGGGGAAACCGAAGCTTCGTTAACAGGACATAGTCAAAGTGTGCCTCCTACCTTCTAATCCTGATTGCAGGTCATGGGAATCTAAAGCGGTTGGCAGGCGTGTATGGCGTGATCTGATCACGAAGGCCGAGGTGCTAGAGAAAGCCCTCATGCATGTAGAGTAGAAGCGGCAATTGAAGACGCGTCATACGCCCACGGGTTTATTCCATCGATGACGAGCGCATGGTGCTGTGGCACATGCGATTCCGATTGTCGTGAGTCAGGCAAGCCTGATGAGCCATGAGCGAAGCCACTCGGGGCCAAAACCTAAGCGATGAGGGCTCCTGCATGGGTCGTAGCGGAATCGGCGCAGCGTTTGTAGGTAAACTGCATTCGATTTACCTACCTCTTGGTTGCATGACGGGTGCCTTTATGTTAGGTGGTGTGGTTGCCATATTTTTTCCTTATTTTCTATCTGCCCTGTCTTCTTTTATCTTGCGCTGGTCGCCTAAGTTAATTGTAGTCATCTTTGTTAACATTTTTGCCCTTTTGTCATCTAAAAATTTACATAATCTGAAGTTTTGAACATAAAGCCAACTTATCCCTGCACTCCACGACCGACGGTTTCGTCTTGATTTAGACTCATCAGGTAGAGATAGCTGAGCTAGGAGTGGAACCCGAGGCATAGTGCTTGGCGGCTATCGCCATGATCACTAGGCCATTGAGTTCCGCGAGCAGTGTTTGACACAGCGGTTAGAAGTAGAATTTCGGGTTTTTTGGAGCACCTCGGGTTCCACTCCTAGCTCAGCTATCTCTACCTGATGAGTCTAAATCAAGACGAAACCGTCGGTCGTGGAGTGCAGGGATAGGAGAGAGCCACACCGAAACCCTCCACTTCGGTGACGGTCCCAGTGACCGCTTTGGCAGAGGCTGACTTCCAAGTCAACCGCCGCCACTAATGAGATTGCGTGTCGCAATCCAAGACACACGGCGGGTGCTCCAAAAAAACCTGAAATTCTATAAAGCCAACTTGTTTACAGTCAATTTATTTAACATACTATTATTTTGTGTGTTCTACTGAGGCTAATGTTCGCTTCTTGATGCTTTTCCACCGGTGTTGGGCCTTTCCAATTTACACTTAATCTTGGTTTTTTAAAATGGATATTTTTCACCACCTCCTTAGTTGTTTATTCTGCCTACTCATATACGCTTCACGTAAGTTGCACACATTACTTTCCTTAATTGTGGTTATATTCGTTACCTTAATTGCGTTTTAAGATTTGATTAGTAACTGTTGGATATTGGGTACTTATCGCGGATCCAATCCTAACTGACTTACTTCATCTACTAATTTAGCGGAGTTATGTCGGCATAGCCATATTCTAATATATTTATTTTATTTGCTATTATCATTTTAAGTGATTGGCTATTTTGACATGCCAGCTTCCGCTGCGCTTGATGTGCATGTTGACAAGGTGCGTACCTGTCTATTGCCCACCACCTCGTCCTTCCTGGATCCAGGAGACAGTTGGTTTTTGCTGGAGAGAATGGGGTGCACGGTCTTTGTTGCCATGCTAGGCTCGGATAGCGGTTGCATGCACTCATTGTGGCGTGGACCATGCTTCAGCCACCGCCTTGTGTGCACTTGATTCCCCAAATACAGCGTGCTTGTGTTTGCCTGTGAAGGAATGTGGGCCGGCTCCGTTGGTGAAACTTAGCTCCCATCCACATGCTTCCTGGTCTTATTCCCTCGGGTTTACACTGGATATTTAGTGTGTGGATGGAGCTGTGGGTGGTGCAGCGCAAGCCACTCATGGGTTTTTTGTAGGCACAGGCGTCCTGTGGCTGACCACAGTGACAGGCAAATCCCGACGCCGCCAACCATATATATTACCTATGTGAAAACCCTTGTGGCTTAATCGGCTCTCGACATGTCCTCAGTTTTACATGACTGGGAAAACGCTTACTTGCATTTATGCAGTTCGGTTCCCCTTTCGGTGTCTGATGGCCGTTAATTGCCAATCCGTTTTGCCCATTTGCTAGGGCACTCTACGTGACCAAGGATTGCTATGGCTTTGCACTAGCTCACACCAGACGCTAGCTCCCATTCTCCGGGACAGCACTGAACACAACCGCCAGACTGGTACAGAGTGGGTGTTTGATCTCAAAGGCACAGGTGCACGCAATCCGGATGCGTACTGGCGCGTGAAACGAATCGACCACGAATTGAGAGGATTCGAGGCTTTCTCCTGGCCTGGACACTACCTTCGTGTCACTGTGGATGGTGTTGATATCATGGTAGGTCACCTTTGTATTGCAGTATATTTGTGAAGTAACAAAACAAAATTCACACAGCATAAGGCCTTAATGTTGTTAAGGAGAATGGATATCCCAGATGAAAGCATGTGCCAACTCACCTTTAGTTTGACGATAATGATTTTGGGAACGTTACCGACCAGAATGTAGCTGTTGTTTGTTCCTTCCGGAGTACATTTTGTGTCGATGAGTTACGACGCGCTAAGGCAATTGGGATTGCAAATCACGTTAAAATAGCTTTGGCCATTTTGGTGTTTCAGAACAGAGCAACAATGAGTCCCTAACTTCTGTGGCCTAAGTAACCCTTCTAGTTCTTCGATGTAAGGATTAAAATCTCAGCAGATACTCCCTGTGACTCTGCTTCAAGTCGCCATACTACCATCTGTACTTGTTGAGCAAGAACCCGATCGAAACGGATCATAGATTGTGGGGTTGGGAGCAGTTAGCAACTGATAGGTCCTCATCATAACTTGTATTCTCGTTGACTGAAGACGGTTTCGAATGGAGGCGGTTCGGCGAAGAGCTGAAGGTCTGCGTCTTCTTTTGATGTATTCAAAGGGTGGCAAATGTTCCGTACTACTACCAAAAATATGGCAGGGAATTCATCCACAAGTTCAGCCTAAAGACAGGAGGTATTTGATCACTTCGGTAAAAGGAATATCCGAATAAACTGCTGTTTAGTAGTCCGAAACATTATTCACTATCGTCCTCAGCCCATGATTGTACTATCTGTGTCGTTGTGAGTGGTTCACGTTCATTAACGTAGTTGTTATTAGGACAGGAAACAAGCAGAACGGTTGTATTTATGGTTTCCCATGGTGCGGGGTGTATAAAATCTCTAGTTTTTAGTTGATTCGGTTGTGTTGGTTGGCAGGACATTATAAGTTCGTTCAGTATATCGTAGACGAACCAGGAAGTTGTTTGTGTGAAGACACATGCCATCATTTCTGTGGTGTTGTGGGTAATTTCCGAGTACTCTACTGCACTATAACTTAAATGTATGTTTCTCAGCTGAGTTACGTCGAGCTGATATCAGTTTGTTGACTCGACAGAAAGTTTCCATTATGTTCGTTCACAAATGCCCTTCGATACAATACATCCCGTAACAATACGGTGGCCTCTGTTGTCAAAAGGCAGGACTGCTACAGGCAGTTTCGTCCGAGATAGTGAAGGTCACGTGATAACAAGTGACTGAGAATTAAACACTTAACTAGGATTCCTACAGAAAAGGTGTGAAGAATGGGGGGGTTCCAAGACATGCATAAAAGTACCAGGAATATGAGTCCACTCACGGATCCACCAGCTTTGTTGAAACCCACTTGATGTCAGCCTCCCAGGCAGAGCTGAAGCGATTAAAATGTTCTTGGTTCAGTAACCTTAGATTGAACCAAATAATTGCCCTGTACAATAAATTCGCCCTGCCAAAACCCTGCTTCTGGCTGATCCGCTGAGCCAAGGTCTATTCATAGCACATTTTGGTCGCTTAAACAATCCTCACTAACACTTCCAGTGTTCACTGCAGTAAGAAAGTTGACTCTTCTTTCGTACTACCACGCCTCATCTTTGTGTGGTGTGAAGAACACTGTGTGGTAGTTAAAGACGGGAAACTCAACCGACAAGGGTAACAACCAAAGACATGATTGGTCAAATCATGGCGTTTACTTTTACCACTTGTTACCTGAATCACAGGTTTCATGGACCATTGTTAGTAAGTGACAATCCAGCGGCATACTTGTTGCAATGATGCATATATGAACAGTGAACAATGAATTTATTCGAGTTAAAATGCGTTGCTTTACAAGTCCCGTTGGATAGTTGGTGGGGATATCGAAATAACGATAAGGATGATAATAATAATAATAACAGTAACACAGTTAGTACTTCAAATATGAAAATAAGGACATCTTTTCCTTCGCTGTAGTCCTGCAATCCGCTTAGATTCACAGCACCCGCACTTACACATCAAGTAAATCCATGATAAATTACAGGAGTAGGATAGAAACGTAGCGCTAAGTGACAAAGTGTAAGTGGATGAGTTTTCATCCAACCAACGGTTAAATACTGTTAATATTGGTGCAGAGACGACTGATTCTGTGACAGCATTCCGCGGCTGATATACACAAATGGAAAAGAAATTTCTGCGGCATTCCAGACGACTATATCGTTCTGCGAGTTTTAATGTGTGGTCCCTGAGGTTTGTATTGTTGTTGAGTTGTAGCAAAGCGCGGCACATATGACGTGGGTCTTGCGGAATCAAGTATGCCGTAAACACGCCGCCTCGTATTCGCTGGATTTCCCCAAAGGTTGCAGCATCTCCCAGTATGAAAGATACCGCGTTCCAATTACATTCTTAGACGTCCGACGTTGTGGTTGCTCCAGTGCATTAATGTCGTGTTTCAGCCATGGATGCTAGGCCTGAATTGGGTATTCGGCTTGGGGGCGAACATACGCACTGAGGATTTGTCGAAATATGTGCATTTGTCCAAACACCCGTCGCAACAGCCCGACGTGTTAATTTTCAGTCTTTGAAGCCTTTTCGGTTTGGCTAGAGCAACCCGTCATCTTGAACCAGCACACCCAAGTCAAATCAGAGAGTTGATTGTTGCAATACCTTTGTTCCGAGTTAGGATGAGTAGCTGCGCTGATGTCGCATTTACTGACGTTGAAATGCAGTAAGTTTTGGGTTAACTATTGATATACTGTATCTAGGTTAATCTGAAGCGGCTGCTAGTCGGCTTCCACCTGGAACCTGCGCAAATCTTGATATCGTCGGCTAACATGGGGACGTTCGAAACAATTCTTGGTTCAAGGTCATTAGTAAACAACAAAAACAAACATACACCTAGTACTGAGCCTTGGGACACACCACACTCGAATTGTATGAGGTCCGATAAAGAGCTCCGAACTCTGACCACTAATTGCCGTTGAAGTAGAAATTTGGCGATCCAGCTTAAAAGAGGGTCGCGGATCCCGTAATGCCGGAGCTTGGAGAGTAGTGTCCGATGGTCTAGACGATAGAAGACTTTCGAAGAATCCAAGTAGATCACATCAACACCTTCTCCAGCGTTAGCTGCCTCAGTTCAACTACTGAGTGCGCTTAGTAAATTCGTTGTACATGACCGCTGTCGACGGAAACTGTACTGCTCAGACGTGCTGATGTCACCGTTCTCCAGACAGGACACCAGTGCATCGGCAACTATGGGGTTCATGAATTTGGAGAGTATAGGAAGTAGGGACACTAGGCGGTAGTTGGAGGGACCAGTTCTACTTCCGCCTTTGTGAATCGGGGCTATTATTAAAACTTCCACATAGCAGAAGCTTGATTCTGGTCTAACTAGCGTCGGAAAACATGAGCCAAATGTCCTGCCATTTTGCTTGCTGCTACTTCCAGTGCCTCTGGAGGAGTGGTGTCTACACCCGGCGAGCTGTGTTTGCGTAGAGAGGTCAGCTTCTGTAATACAGCCTCCGCTGTAAATATGCTGTGGGTTAATCCTGGCGAGGAGACGACAAAAGATGGACGATTGCTTGGTGTCAAGACCGTTTGAAACGTGGGGGCAAATTGCATCCGCAGCGCGTTTGCTCCTCCCACATTGGTTCGTGTTAAGCCATCAGCCGTCCTGGGTGGAGGAAATCCTCGCCTCAAATTTCGTAGGCTATTGGCGTGCTTGTACCGCAGTTTGTGGGTAACACTGAAGGTTTTTGAGCTGTTCCGCTTATATACGTTGTTTTGTACTCTCTTAGCAGTTTGGTGCAGTGGTTACGTTGAGCTACGTGGTTGTTCCAAGTTTCTGGTGCTGAAGCTTCTCTGAACGCCATGCTGCGTTACGTACTGTCATCCAATTTCGAGTATTCATCCCGCCGAAAGAAACTGATATACACTTACGGCAGACCCTTATTGCTGAAGCCTCTGCAATCAGCTGACTGACTTTGTTGACGAACTCAAGCCAGACGACTTCCGGGAGTTCTTCGGCGAGGAACGACCAAGTTGTAGCGCTGACGAGCTGGGCTAATGGATCGCAGTCTGTGATGGTTTGCACAGTCTCATCCTTCTCATTCCGATATTCCGCATAGCAAACGAAGTTGCAACTGCTCAAAGCGTGATCACTGCGACCCAATGGGCAGTCTAAAACTGACACATTAACCATATGCTCCAAGTTTGTAAGCACAAAATCCAGCACAGTTGGCCTGTTACTTGTTCTGCACCGAGTGGGCAAAGTGAGGGGATTGGAAAGAGGAACAGTGGTTACGTGATGTTGTAGATCGCCTTTGAATTGTTCTCCGATTGTGGCAGGGGTTTCTACACAATGTGTGTTGCAATCACCCATGATAAGTATGTGTATGTATTTTACTTGTAAACTGCATCTTAAAGCCGCCGCTAGGTAGTAGTCAGTTTCGGGTGTAGAGTTAGTGTGCGATACCCCAAGAAAATATGGCAAGCGTCTCTGTCTTTTACCTGCAAGCGACACCAAAGAGACTTGGGGAACTGCGAGTCTAAATCCTCCAAGGCTCTGCACTGTAAGCCGCTTCGGTAATACAGGATTACTCGTCCTCCTTTTGTGAGTCTATTGTTACCGACCAGCGACATGCCCGTTAGCAAAACTTCGGCTTCCGTCATTCCCGTGTGCAACCACGTCTCAGTGATACCAATTGCATCAAATGAACCGGAAGCCTGGCGATCTTTCAGTTTGACCAGTTTATTAAAAAGACCCTGCATATTCGTACACAAGCAGGCCATTTTCTCTGTCTGTAGGAGCCCACAGAGGGGTGAAGGGGCCAAGTGCGGGAGAATGCCGACCAATGTGAGGTCGGCAGTTACTCGTTTTTTGATGGGATAATGATAATTCGTTTGCGAAGATTCAGCCAAGGTGGGTCCCAGTATTCCTTTAGACCCAGGTCAAAGTAAATTGAAGCAGCACTCAAATTACGCTTTTGTACATTCGTCGCAATGCATGCTGCTTCAGGTGCTTTAATAGTTGAGGTTTGCCAAGCTTCTGTGACCTTTAACCGAAGTTGTCCCGACCTGTTGATAAGTGTTGTTTGTTTGCTGTTTGTCCCTCTAATCGCATTAACGGTGTTTACAACAGAAGAGTCCGCAAAGGCAGCCTCCTGGTGGACCTTCGCAGCAATCTCTGCATATGTAACTGGTGTTCTAGGGGCTTTGTCTCGACAAAAGACATTTGAGCTAAAGGTACCGAGGGTTATTGTTCGGCTGCTTCATCCTTGTTAATGCTAGATGTCAGGTCTCGTGGAAGTTGCTTAACCAGTTTCGCGTGCTGCTTGATTTTCGCTGCCATGAGTACTGTTCGACTCTTGTAGGTACGGTCTGTTTTCTCCCGGCGTTCTACCAAAGTTGGAGAAGAAAACGATGGGGACGTAGCTGATTGCGGTTAAGGGGAAGCGGATTGTGCAGTGTTATGTTGCTTAAAAGTCGTTCCTCTTTCGTGCTGCATACTCGCTTCCAGTAAAGTAATCTTAGCGTTTGTCCTCTGCTCGGCTTCTGCGGTTAACCGGTCGTACATCTGAGCTAGGATAAGCAAGGAATTAACGAGTGGGATGGTGGAGCACGCAGTACAGAACCAAAGTGCATGTTGGGACCTATTTCGCACTCGTACCTGTTGTTGGGACACATTTGCACACTTCGTATAATACCATTCCAAACTGTGTGAGCAAGTCCGACCGATTGTAACTACGCGATGACGTTCTCCTAACCGGCAAATGTCTTTCACTTGGAGCCTTTTCGGATTCGCATTTCTGCCATTCAACTTGGTGTTGTTACCTGACCCAGTAGGTTGGTTAGCGTACTGTACTATTCCAGCTTTGAGAGCGGTGCACACCGGTCAGGCGAGCGTGGTTAACTTACTTCGAATGACTAACAAGGGACACAACAGGGTGCTTAAATAAAGGGAGTTGAATTGGCAGTCAGTCAAACCACCCATTCATGACACATAAAGGTTCATGGATGGCGTCTATCACAAGCACTACTTCTTTGAATGTGAACCCAAGGAGTTAACCATTCCCCCTGCTCATACTGGTATAGATGAGTGAAGTTCTAGACAGAATAGACCAGACACGTGAGACTGGTGTCCCATAAGCCGCATGCGGCTCCTTGCAAACCCTCATGCCGCTCGCATAAATTTTGTCGCATAAGCCATATATATATATATATATATATATATATATATATATATATATATATATATATATATATATATATATATATATAGAAACAAGTGACACTTGAGGGGTTCCTAGTTTGATAATCTTGGATTAGATGGCATTCGAGCTCAAAACTTTTTGACCGTCTTAAGTAGTATACCGGTATTGCTCGATAATCGACGTCATGTAGACAAGGACTGGTGTGAAGTTGTCGACTGTCAATCACAGAACACAATATTAGTTGTATAATAAGAAGCCATTCAAACAGGAGAGAAGCGCGTTTTCTTGAGTGGATATAAGCTTTTACTGTACCTATGCGCGACTTAGGGAAGAAGCAGAGCCAGCGCATTGATTGCGAAAAGATAAACTACGTTCTTGATCACCACTGCTTTAGAAATCAAACACACTACTCCTTTATAGATGAATCTGCAAACTAGCTTAAAGAAAGGTGGAGGACTACTGGAGTTGTACAACACTCTGTGCGGATTACCTCCAAAGTGGACATCGGAGGGTGCTTCATGCACAAGTTCATTTTGGCCTGATGGAGCATGTGTATACATTAGTGCTGGTAGAATGTAGATTGCACATCATGGGAAGATGGGTGCAAAACAAGTGAAAACCCACTTTAATTGTATCTTGAATCCGAAGTACATTGGAGACTGAACTATTGCAAATTCCTGGTTTAAAATCATTCCGAAGGGCATGTTCCACTTAGGTACCTGGTGTGGTTACAAACAGCCATTTTTCATGGAAAACAGTAGTTTCCTTTTTGCTTCTTTGATCAATCAATTTGGTGTATCTGACGTGCATAAATACTCAACCGACCGGCGTTTTTCATATTCTGTACCCCCTATTACAGGGCAGCGGAGATGATGACTGTCACTTTCGCATAACTCGTCATCGGTCCAAAGGATTTATACATCTGTCACCAATCAATAAGCCAGAAAAATATTTAGGCATGGAAGAAAACGGTGCCGTATGCTTATTTGATGATTCGCAAGGGGACAATATTCGCTTCTACCCAGAAGTTATTGAATGTAAGTATTTTGCTTCATCGACTCTTATGGTAAGTAGAATGCCTTCCCGTCACCTGATAACTAGAATATAGTGTGTTGACACTACGTGATTTTAAAACACATCCACAGTGCACGTTCTCCGCATATTGTGGCAAGTCGAATAATGTCTCAAACGGATAGCTTACTGATTATCTGCAATTAGACCTATAGCGAATGCGACAAGCAATAAAACCGACTCATCACGATACTTTACCGTTACTCCTTAACTTCCGCACACATGGCTGCAGTACGAAACCGGTGAATACTAACAGAAAAATACTTCCGACGGGCTATTGTTCAAGTGTATTGAACGTAAAATTTTACGCTTAAACATAATTAGACATGAAAGCTGTAAAATAGTTGGAAACGCAAATGTGATTCTCCTAGAAATTGCCACACAGCGCCACATAGGTAGCTGCTCTGTTCTCAGAGGAACAGTCGACTTCCGGTTCGTGCTATCAGGTTTCACCACCCACATATCGGATAGATCGAGCACTTCTCTTCTCGTGGAGGAGGGGTTAGTGGTACCAGGCCAAGAGGAGTGGTAGAAACTAGTATCGGTAATAAAACCACACAACGAGTATTCATCCATTAAACTTAATGCGAAACCCAATTATTAGTCGAGTTGTAACTTCGAACTCCCACTGAACCGAACATCAGAGTGTGCAGGGTTCGATTCTTAACTGCGGATTGCCTTATCTAAATTGTCCATGCGATTAGCTGAAATTGTAAAGTATTAAACTGAAACAAAATAAAACACAGGGTTGCAAATATATCACTTTTCGATAGTTCACATCAGGCAAATACAGCTACAAGACTGATAAATGCAACAGTACACTGGTAAAGGCCAAAATGAGGGCGGATGGGACGGTTTGAACAGATTTAGCACGTTTGTTCGATGCTCAAATCGATTTAATCAAATGACGTCGTGACAGGGCTAACAGACTGCGAAGCAACTTGTGTAAACAGAGAAAGTAAAATGCTAACAAAATAAAACATAAATAATTACATAAATAATTAACACCCGGTTATGTGTAATATTCCGGGGGCACAACTACTCATGGGGGCCACTGCAAAGTCAAGAGTTGCACAAGCATGTTGCATGTTGCAAGCAAGTTGCATGCTTGCATAACTCTGGTTGCGTCAGCCGGATCGCGATAGTTTCAGTCGTCTGCCAGATGCCTTTCCTTAACCCTTTTGAGTACCGCCTTGGTACGGCATAATAGACTTTGATGACACTTTTAGTAAAAAGTTGATGCCCACTTTGAAGCAAATGTTCCAAGATCAAACTGTTGATTATTCTGAGCATGCCTCCCCGCAATGACCCTGTACAGTGCTCAGCCATCCTCTGTTTGCAGTAATCGAGGTTAACTTCGAAATAATCTGAAATCCAAATAGAGAGTACCTATAGCAAACCAAACAGAGAAGGGGTGCTTTAATCCGGGACTGAATCGCATGCGCTACAACAGTGGGTGCGCTTTCCGTCGGGTAGGTAGACGTCGAGGAGATCAACCGACCTCAACCAATAAAGTTCTGGGTTCGGTGTTCAGTCCGGGGTGTCTTAGGATGAGCCGTTCAATTAAGCACGATACTAATTATGTGGTATAGTGCAAAGAATACATTGGCAGTATCTCGTATGCATTTTGCAGCAATTTTAATATTCTATCCTTCACTGCGTCATAAAACACGCACCAGATGTAACAAATGTTTCCCTATTAAGTTAAATTTCAGATAGATTTATTAGCAGTCGGCTTCCGCAGGTAGAACATTGTTGCGTCATAGCATCTACAAACGCTGCTGATGGGTACGAATTGGTGCCTCTTCCCTTGACCCTCCTTGACTTGCTCCATTTCGACCGGCATTATCATTGTGGTTGTTTTAATGAGAAGTTGCTTATAATTAGCTTCTGATCGTGACGCAACTTTTCCAGCTAGTTGTTTGCCCTGAAGTTGGTCCCTTCAAGTCAAAGTGGTACAAGCAAACTCAAAGATATGCTTTATTCACTCATGAAGGGTGTACATACGGCTGTGGGTGACTGCCAAAAACTGCTCTCAAGCCCATATTTGGCGTTTTTTGGTCGCTTTGCTGTTCATGGAATAAGATTGTTGGTGATAACTCACGAAAGGAATTGTGGTTCTTTCCAATTGTGAGATGATTTCGCTAAACTAAATTCCTTTGATCCTGGGGTTAGCGGTAAGACACGGAAAAGTCCAAAACCGTAAAGGATAACCGATTTATACTCAGGCCTAGACATGACCCTAGTAGTAACAACATAAATATTCCCGCTAATTTCCCTGTATTTCTTGTGGTTTGTAAATTGGAATCACAAATAAGTAACACTAAATCTGTGATTACAGAAACAGCAAGTACTTTTGTAATTCACGCAAAACTAGCTGAGGTGGGGCAAAGTCTTCTACCTTCACACTGCTGACGGACCCATTCCCAAGCAACGAACACACGTGAGACGACATGCAGACACGCTTTCCAGCTGTGGCACCCTTGGCTGAAATATGACCCTACCACTTTTGTGGATTCACAACAGAGGGCGACTAAAACGTTGAAACATTAGATTAATGTTCCTAGGATTAGTTGTGAATAGAAGGAGTTAGTATGGTTTGTTTGATTCTTAGCAATTAGATTACAAGACGCAATTGTCAACTGCACATCCGGAAAGATACTAGACGACCGTTTCGCCCTAGCAGAGCTTGTCAGTGGTACGGATTCCCTCGGTCCCCTGCAAGGGATCGCACCCATGATTGCTAGTGGCATGCACCACTAGCAAGCAGCTTGTGCCACCGAGCCATGGGGGACAATTTTTGCTAATCAGGGGTTTACCTCTAACTGCGATATAGCCCGACTCATCCCGCACTGCCCCTCCAACTTTATGGCTTGTAATCTAATTGCAATGAACCAGATAAAACTATGTTTTCAGTAGACACTGTCATCGTCTACGCGTGATCTTACGTTCTTGTAACACATCCTCAAGGATCCTAACCACCCATGTCGGCACTCACTGACACTCAACCGCAGCACTTACTAAGAGGAAACCAATTCGTATTTGACCACATAGTATAGCCGACTGAAATGTTATCAGAACTTCCTCTCACTTCATGTGTTCGAGCCATGGAACGTTTTTCTCATTTGGACATTGCCGCTCCTACGCTAATCGAATTTAAAATTCTACTTGATGAAGCGTTACATCACTTGCATTATATGATGTAACCCGTTATTTGGATACCGAACAACATAGCCAAACTGTGTGCACATGTGAAGCACAGGATAAGTCCAACGAGACACGTTACGTTTCCGTGATATATGCACCTTTTTATCATCCTTTTAAAGCATGTATTTTTTATCCTGAAATAACCATTGTTCCTTTGGCCTTTAGTTGAGATGTTGACCAAGAATCCACTGTCACTGGACTGGTACACGCCTAGATCGATCACTAGGCTACATGAAAACTAAGACAAGGAAGAACACTGCCCATTGTAATATACTACAACCATTTGTGTTTACCACATCTGTTCCTAGGTTAGAATGACTTATCAGAGTGGAAGTAATCAACCAATACTACCGGCAATGATGTTCTTCCCCTATAGCCAAATGCTTGTGTGCTTCTTCACGTGAGCTGACTAATTAGTCGTTTCATTTCCACTGGTTAGAAGATTGAATTTTAGCTAGCACGTTGGTTTTCTGCTTCAACCTTTGATTCTGTTTCTCGAAAATATGGTGTTTTTACAAAACGTTTAGCTTGGAGGCACATCTTTAACTAACATTGTAAAATACTCTTCTTTTTATCGCCTAGATGGAATCGCAGTGTCACGTCATACTACACCAGAATCAGTCTGCACAAACCAGGAAAGTTCCGTCAAATTTCGCGGCACTGAGCATGAACAGTCCTCCCCACAGCAGGACGACGACGCATCTTCAGACCACCACCACTCTGACTACACTGAGCCTACAGTGGAACGGGAACTTGGGAGTGTTGCGCCCGGAGATGATCTTAACTTGGAATCGCTCGATCATGCCGAACCATCTGGTAAATTGCACGTCAATTTTTCTAGCAAATATTGACAATGTGATTTTACACTTCACTTATGTGTAGTCGTAAGTAGCATGGTGTTCCACATTGTCAAGCTGGTGGTTTACGCGATCATACCAAGTCAATTTGAATTGATGACCTCTTAGCGGCGTGTTTTGACTGAGTATTAGAAGCGAATGGCATGGATGGTTGGGGTTTCTCAGGATCTGGTACACCATTATGAGATCGCCCCTTAGATGCCGATAACGTCCACTGTATATTTTGAGGGTCCTCAGCCTGAGTGGGTAGGGAAGGCTTGTCGAACCTCTGACGCTCTTCGTTGCCTTACGTTAGGCAGTATCGAGCGCGGTGAAATGGTGCTTGAGCCAGGGTTGCCACACTTGAATAACGTATTCTGCGTGCGGTCTCACGTACGCACTGAGGATTTTTGGAAAGACTGACGGGTCAAACTTCCTGAGAGCTCTGTGAAGAAGGCCGAGGTACTGGTTTGCTTTCTTAGCTGCCTTTTCAGTCTGCCTCAAACAACCGAGGTCAGCTTGGATTATCACGCCGAGATCGTACTCGTGAGAAGCCCGGTGTAGAATTTGTTGTCCTATGCGGTAGTTATGCATGCTGTTGTGCCGTATGCTGAGAACCTTACACTTGGTGACGCTGAAATGCAGCGTGCTCTCGATGGACCATATATATATATATATATATATATATATATATATATATATATATATATATATATATATATATATATATATAATACTACACTACTCGTCCATCTCGTGGTGGCGGTTGCTGTCTACTACCGAGATTACCTGAAATGTGAGGCCATTACCGAACATTTCCTTGTTATTCCTGTAGCCTTACCATACCAGTTGGAACTGGCACATAAACATGGTTGATCTCAGTAAAATTACGCTTGGTGTTTGCCTTTATCAGTTGTCTACTGGCCTCCAAACGCCTTCGAAGATAGCGACGATATTTTGTTAAGTAATCTTTAAGATACTGTTTTTAAGTTGAACTCGCACTATCTTACTATTGGGGATTTCAACATACCTTCAGTGATATTATGGCCCCTAAGTGGACCTTATTTTAAATCGAAACTTCCGGAGTTAATATACATGGCGGCTTTATAAAACCATGTGCATCGAGTAACCAGACGCCGGAGTTTGAACAAGCCATCAATACTGGACTTAATCCTGACTAATGAAGAGTTGATAGTTGAGTCAAGCACATATGCCCCTCCACTAGACAGTAGCGACCATTCAATCCTAACGTTTGTTTATGTGTGCTTTGCCAGTATAGTCCCTAAGCAGCGCAAAATCTAACGAACTATTAATGACTATTCCAAGCTTCACAACCTAGAGACAACCGTTGACTGGGTCTACAGACTCACAGTTCGGCGAACAACGCATGGAATGAATTACAAAGTAAAGTTATTTGGGTCATAATAGTAGCCTCAAAAGTTGTACTAGTGCGAGTATCACGCCGTGCCAATAGTTGTATCCCAAGCAGAACACGTAAATGATCAACAGAAGAGATGCGATTTGGAAGCAACTTACGCTAAGCTCATGTGATACCTCATGGCAGCATTAAAAAACAATCAGAAATTACTGCACGTCACTCACTAGGGCAGACTGGTACGAATGGCAGGCGACCATGGTGCTCAAGATTACGAGTAACACCAAATTGCGCTACAGGCATGTGAACGGCAAAAGAATGGTTGAACTTGGAATACCACCACTCAAGACGGCGACTGGCTTAACGACTATTGTTGTGGAAATTGCGAACGCTCTACTGCTGCAGTTTGGTTCAGTGGCTACAAACACCATGGAACCTTCGCCATATGATCACGCCTACAGGGATGTGCCACAACGTTTCAAGCATAAATCGTTCTTTAGTTTTTATTAATCCTATTTCGGGAATGGTCATCAGTTTATCTAGCGCTACATTCACCCTGGCATCTGTCCTTACTAAAGTGAAACAGTGTTCTTGGTGTCGACAGGATGTGTTCTAAGGTACTCATAACCTTTGCACATACAATAGCGGTATTTTTGCGACCTATTTCAGTGTCGATTCGCATGCATTCCCATTTGACTAGAGAAAAGTAAGCGTAACTCCGGTATGCAAACTGGTAAGCGATTGGCTCATGCGAACTACTGACCAACCATATACCCTGTTTCATCAGAAGTGATGGCGTCAATAATCACAGACGAACTGACTAGTTATTTTGTAGGAATGCAAATAATTTCTAATAGTGACCATGATTTCAGACGCAATCTCGTTGCAGCAATCTGCTTCTTGCTCGTAACTCATGGATCAGGGCGGCTGATGAGGGAGTACCCTAGATGTGATCTACTTAGACTTTTCTAAAGCATTCGACGGGTTAGATCACTCAGTTCCGCTCCAAAAGCTTAGTGCCTAAGGTTTCACCGGTTCATTACATACCTTGTTAGGAAGCTAAACCCTGCAGAACAGCCACAGTACGAATTACCGGTGCAGAATCCGAGAATCAGTACGTTTTCAGTAGTATGTTCCAGGGTTTGCTGTTGGGCCCGCTGTTGTTTTAGCCTATTTCAATAATCTCACAGAAGATATTAAACCCCATATGCAAAGCTGTGCAGACGGTGCCAAGATCAGGTGAGCTATTCACTCAACATCTGGTCATACCAGACCGGATTTATGAATGGGCAGAGATGAACGAGCTCTTCATGAACCCCGAAAAGTGCCACGTGCTGACGCTGCACAGCAATTTCGACTGCGCATTCCAACTAAAGCAAAACACTCTACAGCAACTGACTAGTGGAAGTAGTATAATTCAAGAATGTCTGGGAAATTCCCTCCAGTGCTGGAGAACAGTAAATGTGACGAACTTGTACCTAGGGCTTTTGAGGCGGGCTTTTGGCACATTTGAGTGACTTATAGTATCATATATTGTAAGAAGAAACGCCAGCGGTACGCTTAAAGCCAACAATTGTTTTCGATTTATTCATCATCAGACTTGGTACAGAAATATACGTTGAGAAGAGGAGTTCATATGGGAAAACAGAGAGTAACTATTGATTGAACAAAAATTTTTAAATGCTTAACGTAACGTGTCATGTGGTCAAGTGACTGAAGGCATGTGATACCACTGAGTGAGGTCCGATCCATCATTATTACTGGCTGGCCACGATAGTTGTAATGCTTGTACATGTTGCTTCTGAATGCATAGATTTGGTTTTGTCAACCTGACGTATCCCTGCTGATTAATACGAATATTCGTCCCCACGGTAAGTATGCGACTTAAGCCTAGCGTCTATGGTTAAACCCAGTCATTTGTTTCATGGGGCGGCTCCAACGAAGGGCCACCTAGGCAACATGTGGACTATCTGGTCTTGGTTACGAAAGGCGCTTTCGTTTACGCAGGATGTTCTCCTCAGCATACCGACGGTTTCGCAGGGATCTCATTCTCACATACCGAATACTAACAGGAAACAATCAGCCATGTACATCACTGCGGACTCTGGCCTTTTACGAGCAATATCGAGACCACCAACAGCAACTACTAACTCAACACCTCTTTGGATTTTAGATAGCTTCTTTATTCCCTTAGACTATGTTCACACTGGGATACTTTACCAACACATGTGAATGCACCGAACATCCAAAATTTCAAATGACCATTAGAACTTCATCTAAGTGACAAATGCTACACAACGGTAGGACAACAAGTGCTATATTTAGATTGCTGATAGTTCACGCTATACAACGAAACATCCTTGTTTACTTTTTTCATTTGTTATTAGGTGGGTGTTGTAAAGCTATGGCATTTTGTCCTGTCCCGCAGTACTGAAGTATAAAAATATCCCTGTAAAACTACCGCATAAAATATTCGTCTGCTGTAGCATTTTTATCTCGCGCCTTTCTTCTAAAACGATCTTCCTACTTTGTCGCTTGGTGCATTCAGACAAATAGGCGGCGTCGCTGATTTGCAGTCTGTCAGCTTTAAGGTTCAACAGAATGGATTAACTGCGGTCGGTGACGCCTTGCTCTGGCTAATTCGAGCAGCCGCATTTCATTCCACAAAAATGATGTTGGTATCACTTGCTTCGCATCCTCTATCTACACAGTGTACGAGGTTCAGGGAACTCGGCTTCGTCAAACCCTCATCCAAGCCTGTTACTTATCTGCTTGTGGATAGAAATATTAAGCGCCAATGAACATGTAGTGAAGTGGAGACTAGTCCTATACTACTGCACTAGAAGGAACAAATCAGTTAGAGAAAATAAAAGTATGCGCTTGTAGTGACCTGAAGATTCCCTCGTATGACTGTGTAAACTATTCTAAAACATATGAAAATTATAGTTTCCTTATGTATTAGGGAATTAGGCGGTTTGCCTGTTGGAACGTTGTTCCCGTTTGTTTGAAACACGAACACGATATCCGCCTTTGGCGCGCGCGACTCGACTGCGAACGACGCTCCGTCCACGCACTCGACGCCCAACTACATCCTCCCTAGCTAGCTCTCTTCTGGTGCCCTATTTTTAGCATTAGCTAACTCTCCTCTCGTCCAATAAACTTTTCTCTATCTTAACTTTTGTGTGTTCTGCCCATTGCCTTTGGTTGGCCGTCTAGTCTCGTACTGGATATATAGTGCACAACGTTCGCGCTATACGCTGACTTTGATGTTGTCAGCTGAACTAATTCCACAAAGAGTTCCCACTCGTTGACGAACTAATCGAAATGTGGTATTCCAACGTTTTAACTCGACGAAGCTCAGAGTTCCCCAAGCACACAGACAAAACAAGCTCAGCACACCGTAGTAGAAAAGCAGAACGCGCGCTTGGTGGATAGAGAAGAGTGAATCGGGAAATCGTCAGTTAAAACAAACTGCAGTACAGATTGAAAAACAAAGTGAGATAGAACAGAAAAATGAGAAAGCTATGAACATTAACCAGTTGGTCATCTTATACCCATTGCCTAATTCTGCTACTGAAAATGGAGGCTAAGGCGAATGGATACCGGGATGACTCTATTTAGGAAATTAAGTTCTTGTTCTTAACTGTTAGTGATACAAAACTGATGAATTTGAACACTTCCAAGAGAAAAACAATACAGCCTCTATCGAGTTCTGCTAGGGATCGAAGCGCGAAGTTATTTGCGGATAAGTGTATGTGGTCAAAATTCAAATCGTCATAGCCATCCAAAATACCGCATCGACCACCAGAATGGTTAGTAATACTGACTGATAATAATACTTTTACTGAGCATTTTACAAAACCGTGGTGCGATGCGAAACACTCAGAACGGTTACGTTTTGTTACAAAACTGAACCACATCCTAATCGAAGCGCCTGTTTGAATAATTGTGCCGACTAAATACATCCGCCTTATTTAATTCGTTCGGGAAGGGGTAGGAGGTGCACCATTACTCCCAGATCGGTCGTATGGACTGCTGATTGAATCATCAGTTGTCAGCTGACTGATACAGTAATCTTTCTGACCCGAAACCGTATCTTCAGTTCTTAGTTTCGCCTAGTTTTGTGTCTTCAAGTCTTCATGTGACTTGCCTCTAAAAGATGACTTAGTTAAAATGCCACCAGCCGAACTGAAACAAAGCTCGTTAACAGACTAACACTGCAGTGTTTATCGTGTGGTAATTGTCTTATTGTAGGTCCTGCGGAATCAGGCATTTCAGTGATCAACACATTTTTGCTCTTTTTCAGATAACCAGTGGAAAGTATCCATCTCATCCGCATCGACAGCGAAAAATTGCACAATCTTGTTGGTCGTATACGGAGTTAACTCTAACTCAGGTCCCATCCTCATCGGACGCTCCGATGAGGAGACGGAGCTCTTTCAGAAGAACAGTACGGATAGCTTTATGGTAAGTATTTAGCTTGTTTAACTATAAGCTTCTCAGATAACTTTCGACGGAATTAAAGCCTGTTGTAGAGTAGCAGTTGTATTGCGCTATAATGCATAGAACTGTAATGTAATGCGATACGGTTTAATGCAGTGTTTGTCGTAAAACTAAAACTTTATCTAGCGAATCATTAAAAATTTGACGAGTTGATATCCCCGGTATCTCCAACAACCTTATCAATGTAGTTCCACTCACAACGATCCATCCTCAAACCGTCAATTAACCTAAAGTGTACACTCGATACCCGCCAACGAGTAGCCATCCTTGATCTATTGACCCATCATCATTGATATACACGATAGCTAGAGGTGGGAAACATCTCAGCTACTGTGCCGCAATACATAGGAGAAAAAGATGCAACTGGTGCAAGTCAGCTGTGCTACCGGTAACGGATGGACATCGTTCCAATAAGCTACCAGCCGGCAACTGTGCACCAAAAAAATTACTAAGCAAAATTATATGAGGTAATATACTGAGATCGTGGTTGAAAGGGGATAAGAGGGATGGGGTGGGACAAAGAAACTAGCAGCAAGAACTCCACTGAGGTCGGCTCCTAGCCATAGCAGCAAGTGCATCCAGCCAAACGTGTTCATCGTCTTCCAGACCAAACCAGGGAGCCGAGACGCTCCAACCAAGGCCAGCTCAGAAGTGAAGGCATTCATTCCTCTCGACCAAATCATCACTTAGCCACTCCTCCTCTTCGTCCATCCACACCCCCGGTGAGCAACAACGCACGTCGCGGGAGTCGGTGGGCTGGCATGCGCAACACGTGACCGAGCCATCGGAGCCTGGTGCGTGAAATAACAGTGCTGAGCGCTTCATTTCCTTTTCTGTGCCCTAAACAAGACGCCGAACACGCTCGTTACTCACTCAGTGTTCCCACCAGATGTGAGCCAAACTGCGAAGGAACCGGTGGTCGAACGTAACTAGCCCCTTTATGTCCACTGATCTAAGAGGCTAGGTTTCACAACCCTACAGTGGGGTCGAACATACTGCTGCATTGTACACTAGACCCTTCAGGGTAAGAGTGATGTCGTGCCGGCGCCATAAGTAGTTAGCAAAAGCGCCTCGTGTTTTGCTATACGATTCGTGATTTCATCTTCAATCCCACGGGCGCTGATACAACTTCTCAGGTAATCGACTTTTTGAACGACTTCTAGCTGATCCCCACAGGATGCGGTCCAGACCAATCTTGGAGGAACGCTTTGCACTTCGAAAGTGCGAAGCAAAGCCCGAAGTGAGGAACAGCCAGTGCTAATCTGTCCAATGCCGCTTGGCACGTTTGTGAGCTGTCACAGAGGAGGGCAATATCATCAACATACTCAAGTCGAGTCAAGTCCAGTCGTTCTCCTGGGAGCAGATCCACACCTTTGAAGTCATGTCCTGTGAACGCGATTTCCATGGCTTCATCAATAGCGAAGTTGAAGAGGAATGGTGACAGCGGGCATCCTTGTCTCACACCGCTGGAGATATTAAAGCGCGACGACAGCTTGCCGTAATCCCTAACTCTGCCCAAGCTGCGCGCGCATGGTGCTCGGATAATATTTACATATTGCTCAGGTACATCTTCCCTGAGTAGACAGTTCAAAAGTGCACGTCTATCCACCGACTCGAAGGCACCTTTGATATCGAGGAACAGGACAACGGTGTGTCGCCAAAATATATGGCGGTGCTCCAACGACTGACGCAAAGTGAAGATGTGGTCAATGCAGCCACGATCTCGACGAAACCCGGCTTGCCCTCCACGAATCTGGCTTTCACAAGTGCCAGTCAGTCTGTGAAGGATGACAGAGGCAAGCAATTTGGAGACGATGGAGATCAGACTGATTCCTCTATGGTTTCCGCATTCCGATCTTGAGCCTCCCTTGAAAATTGGGACTATGACGGAGCGGCTCCAGTCGGTTGGGACAGTTTCCTGCTCCCACAGTTTCACTATTAACTCTTGTAAATCATCCACAAGAGCAACTCCCCCGGAATGTGAAGAGGGTTGGAGGAAGGTCATTTGGTCCCACGTCTCTAATTAATTTTAGCGGTGCGATCTCACGTTCGACTTCTGAGCGAGCGAGTGGATCCAAATGGAGAGCACAGGGAGCAGAGAGATCAGGGGCCGGCGAGAAATCTGACATTTCCGAAGATTAATTGCCTTTCAAAGTGTTCAGCCCAACGCTCCAAGCGTTTTGACAAGTTGTGGATAAGCCGTCTACTCTCGTCACGTATAGTTGCACTAAGACCAAGTCTTCTGCTGCCCGTTTCCCGTATCAGCCAGAATAATTTACGATGGTTACCAAGGGCAGAGGACATTTCCATCTCTGATGTAATATGAGACCACTAGGATTTGCGGTTTCTCTTCAGGCTAGCACGGAGTTTTGCCGGGAGCTCTTCGTGAGTTTCATTGTGTTCGCTCCCAGCCAGAATATGCCGGCGAACATCGATAAGTTCCACAGACTGCGAAGAGACCCAATGTTCATGTTGGTGATTAGACATACCACATGAGGATTTGCCTGCTGATAGTAAGGTCTGGTGAGTACGAGACCAATGAGCTTCAATTACATCCAGTGAGCACTTATCCAACTCACATGACAGCGTACTTTGATAGGCATTCAGAACAGCTGGTTTCGTCAGTTGGCTGGTGTCAAAGCGGTCACAACGTCATAGTGGGCGTACGCCAAAACGCATCCGCAGGTCAGCACATACAAGTGCGTGGTCGGTGTCCACACCTGCGCTCCAAGTCGAGCGACAGTTCTGGACGCAGTCTTTCCATCGGTAACATATCGCAATGTGATCGATTTGCGTCCATAGCTGGTTCGAGGCTGGTGGGCGCCAAGTCCCGCTCCGGTGGGTGCCGTGTCGGAAATTAGTGCTCGCAAGTAATAATCAAGCATCTTCACACAAATGAAGTAACCGCTTACCGTTATCATTACGGGAGCCTACACCATGTTGGCCGCCCAGATTCAGTTCATCAGTGGATAATTTTCCAACTTGAGCGTTCAGATCCTCAGCCAGCGCAACAGCGTCCCAGTTTCTTCTGTGGCGAAGGAGCTCGTTCAATTGGCGATAGAAGTCGTCTTTTACCGAAGCATCGCTAGAGTTTGTGGGTGCATAGGCAGCGATGACGAATAGACACCTATTAGTCCCGCGCGACTTCGAAGCTTTGAGCGAGCCAGCCAATCGGACCGCACACATCAGGCTACTGATTGGAATCCAGTCAGCCGGAGCAGCTTCAGCCCGGGGATTCAGGGCAATACCAACACCGGCTTGGCCGGTGCTCGAAGCTGCATCGTCACCGTATAGCCGCAATGAGACAGTGCTGCTAGTGTCACCTGAAGGGGATTGCAGAGTGAGCACAGAGCTCGAGTCTTACAGATGAGTCTCAGATAAGTAGCAGACATAGATCGAGAGGTTCTCTGATGTTCAGACAAGTGCTGACTGTTGACCGATCTGTAGTAATGTTCGTACATTGAGGCATGCCAAACGGAAGGAGGATCGAGGGCTCCAAATAGAAGTCGATGAACTGGGCTTGGCCGCTTGGTTGGACATGGGCTTGTCGACAGGGCAGGAATGATGCTCCGCGTTCACATGTGAGTTGAAACTAGAAGGTAAAAGCCTAGCAAAGCAAGGTGGGGAAGGGCCAAGAATTGGGGGGTTGAAAACAGGGAGAATAAAAGTGAAGCTGGAACGGGACGGTATGAGAGAAAAGGCGTAAGAGGGGGAATAAGATGGGAAGGCTTGAGCAGTAGCATCCATACCCCTATCCACCCTGCTCAATGCAGCAGATAGGGCACCGCTGATTATCCTCTGCGGTGGCCAGAGCATCAAAAAACTGTTTAAGAGAAATTCATTGTATTGCGTGGGCAGGATAGTGTCAGGTAGCCCAGGCCTAGACAGCAGAACGATTAGAATTCTTAACCAAAGCTTTTGGTTCATAAACCTGTCAGTGGGTTTGGCGTTGGGCTACAAGGAGTCCGTTTTAAGTAATAAGGGCCATCTCATTCCAACTCCCAAACTGGAAGACCAGGGGGCTGAGTTTGTCTGGCCTCTAACCATTGAGCATTGAGTGGCTCTGTAGGTACAAGAAAAGCAACACTCAATGGATCGCTGAGGCACACAAACCATCGCACCACCGTAAGGTCCAGCCTCATTGCGATGGATAATGTGTCAGCTGTACGCCGTAACGGCGCGCGGGCTGAGTGTACCGCGAGGACGCCCACCCCCACGCGGATTCGAACCGGTGACCTTATGGTTGCAAACCAAACGCGCGGACCACGCGGCCACCGGCCGACTGATCTATCAACTACCTAAGTTGATTAGCAATAATAGTCTACAGGCGACGGTTCAACCTACAAGCCTGCTGCGATGACTGTAACGGAAGGCAGCCGCCAGTGCTTCGCAATCCTGCCTAGATGTTTGCTCTCCATTTATGGATTGCATGCAGAACAGACTAATAAGTAAGAAACATTGCTTTTGACCAAGTTGCTATCATCCCGAAATCTTTGGGAGCTTCAAAAAGTGCTCCTCATTGCTGTACACACTTACCTGTTTACAGGGTATCTCAAAGGAAGGTACGATGTTACCAAGTAGTCGGTTGTGGATTTTGGGCAACGCCTAGAACGCACGGTCAGTCAAATGTCGAAGATGGAAGTGAGCTACGGTGCTTTTTTCAAAAGGTTGGGGGAGTAATTTAGGGACTAACATTAGCAATATTCACACCACAAATTTTACTGCAATTCTGTGCTCAAAATGCAACCGTCCGTCAGGTGGAGTCAAGCCGAGACGGCAGTCAACTTAGCTGTAGCCAGTCGCATACAACTAGGAGACATGCGATCAGATGCGATATGAAGCGAAGGGATCGATTGTCTAATCAACCAAACCGCATTACATGTATATGGCAAAAGGCTAATTCTCGGACTGAGAAATACGCGAGGCCCTAAATGATTACCAACTATTTGGTTCAAACTGTGAGA